GATAAAATTGAACAATAAAGTATAATTATGAAATAATATTTTGAGTCAAGTAATTTTTTAAAGATTTTAGAAACAAGAATTGGTAATATAAAAAATTGTTTAGTCATTATTTATTGGGTTGAAAATGTAAAAGAGAGGAAGAGGAGAGGGGTATCGAACCACATACACCAGCTGAGATACAACACTCCCTTTGCTGTTAGTGAAAAATAAAACAATATAGAATTATTTATTTATTCTTTATTGTGTTAAAAAATTTGAAAGAGAAGTGGAGGAGGTGATGGGGAATCGAACTAGGTGCTTCTCACAAGCAAAACAAAATCTTCACTTTATGAACTACAACTATTTTCATTGATTACTTTGCAGTTAACATATTTAACTTAAAAACTTTATTAATATGTAATTTTTTTTTCTGGTGAAGCCAGCACGGGCAGCCACGCTGGCTCGTCGCATGCTGGCCCGCTATTGATGATCACTATTGATGATAGATACTTTCTTTTTAGTTTTTCTCCTATGCAAAGGGTATAAAGACAAGTCCCATTTTTGTGTTTTACAGTTTCGTGGTGGAAAACAAAGAGGGTTGGGAGTCCAAAATTATATTGTTATACTCCTATTTAGTATAGTATTATTTTGCGGTGGAACTAAGTGCTTGTAGCTTTCACATTGAGAATGAATTGTCGCGTGTTATTAATTGTTTTTCTTAGCACCTTCATAGGGATTATGCTAAATTGTTGCATAAACCTTTAAAATGATTTCAGGTGGGAATTAATTGTGACATAAATTTATATTTGGTTTGAATTATGAAGCAAATTGGCAATATGAAAATATAAGAACAAGAACACAAAATTTATGTAGAATTCAAGTAGGCGAACTACTCATATATAAAATACAATGAATAGCCTAACATATGATGGAGTTCTAATATAACAAGCATATCAAATAATAGAGTGTTTTAGGCAGAACAAGAATATGAAAACTGCCAAAAAAGCGAACAGTTTTCCCCCCGGACATAACGGCCGCTCGAGTGGCGGTCTTGCCGGCATTGAGCAATGGCTCGACCACTTGAGCGTTTGAGGCGTTGACATCGATCACTGGATTCATTGAAAAAACCGCTTCAGCACTCGTTGCGCGGATGTCGAGCATTTTTGCGGCTATTTTTTTCTCCTTGTTCCGTCTTTAACTTCTTTGACTCCTTCAAGACATTTAGTACCAACTCCCGATAGAATTAGGTTCATGCTCTAACATGAAGGATGAAATGTACTTGTTTCTCGTTGCTTTTAATTAGAGTGTAATTGTCAAATGATTGAAATGGTATTATCAATGTTTATGTTGGAGAAGTTGATAGGTTAGGCTATAAGTCATCAATGGGACTGTATTGGAGGGTAAAAGTTGATAGATAGGTTACAAGTCACTCCACTGTGGTGTGATAATCTACCTGCAACACTATGTGCTTGTTTGTTAGTGTTTTTATGTACTTATAAGTTGTGCATCCTATGTAATGTATGACTAATAAAAAAATAGTAAGTTGTCGATCTTATATTTTAAGTTTTGCCGAACATGCTCATTTTTGGTGCAAAAATTTGCATATATTCGTGGTGTGACACATCTCTTATGAATTGTTCCTTTGCGAGTTTTTCACCTTCACATGATACAAATTCACCAAGGCTTGTGAAATCCTCGAGCTATTTGTTGGTGAATCCCATACGCAATCTCAAGACTAGATGGGAAAAATATCATTTTTAAGACGGCATATTCATTACAAAGATCTCACAAATCTATACCATCTGTATGCGAAAATGAAAAAACTGAAAACAGCCTTGAAAATGTTAATGCAAACCTTAACAAACAGTAAAGGGAAATGAAAATATATCACACAAATCTGTTAAATGGCTTTCTCCCGACTGTAGCAGGCATAGAAACAGTTGAATCCACACTCAAATCTCTTGTAGAATACAAAGGCTGGTGATTTTCTAATGCCCTTTGAGAAGTAGAATCTTTGTTTGATCCTTTATTCCACTTGAAAGGCCCGATATACGGAGTCAAAGGAAATAAAAACCCCCTCTTTGAATCGTTACTCGGAGTTCGTGGAATTCTCTCCTTCAGATTGCTGTTGGCCCTTACTTTGGCTTTAGCTGAGACAGTATGTGCCATGTAACTTGGAACAGAGAACGGAGGGCAACTCGTGAGGCTGTCATCATCTTTCAATGGAACATCATAAGGCGAATTTGCAGCACTTGCTCTCTGCTTTGAATATTTCATACGAGTTGAGATGTTCGTTGCAGGTAGAGGTGTCCTAGTTGGAGTATGCATTTGTTTGGTTCTAACCGGGATTGTTGATTTTAATGAATTTGGCGTAAGAGTTTCATGACCATCAAAACCTGCATGAAGTAGTGGACTTGGCTTGTGTTCTGAAATTGTCCTTGGAGGAGATAGAGTAATATTTTTCGCAGCAACTTGGCCATCAAAAGTTATAGGCAGCTGACGTTCTAACCAGTTCCACCACCAGGGCGAGCTACTAGATCGGATGTCCAGAGCTGTTTGAGCTGATTTGGAATTTGCTTTCCACAACTGATATAAAAGGAAGTGTCAATATACAGTTAATTCGGCCTACTTTGAGCTAGAAAAAAGGAAGTGTTCCCATTGTACCTGGTGAGAATATGCATAGGCCATGCTTCTCTCTCTCTTAATGACTGCCTCCACCTTTTTCCGTATCCTCGCTTCTATTTCCTCTTTAGTTAGCAAGCTATCGTCCCAATCTTCTTTCTGACCAGCCTCCTAAAATAATAGCATTCATTTAACGTGGAAAAAAGAGGAGATCGAATTATTAGCCAAAACAACTATTCAGTAATGATTAATTATAACTCACCTGCTGGTTACTCTCAACACCATTCCTGTGAGCTTGGCGTTGAAGTGCCGTGTTTTCTAGCATTTGAATCCTTCGCGATTGAATTTGTGTTTGAACCCTAACCAAGAGTTGCATTTGTTTCATCGCGTTCATTGTTTGTCGCTTCACGTTTTGGCCTCTTACCACCCCTTGAAGCCTCACTAACACCCTCAAAGTTCTGAAACTCCTCCTTTCCTACGGTATGAAAGTCCCAATGCTCAAATAAACTACACGAGTTGTTTATGTAGTAAAACACAAGCAGTTTGATTAACACGAAAGTCACACTAGCTAGTAGATGAATATTCGAATGTTTTCTGCAAATAAATTTTATGAGGTGATTTGAGTTAGAAGATTACCAGGTAACCTCTATATGCTGCCTGGATCTTAATTGCAGAAAGGTGCTGGTTCGCTGGAGTTGGTTCCGGTCTGTAAGCATAGCTAATTTCCTCATGTACTCGAGTTACCTTAGGAGAAACAGATTTAGGAGAAGCAACCCGGGGAGAAACCGCTCTAGGAGAAATAGGCCTTAGGGAGGAGAACCTAGGAGAAGCAACCTTCGGGGAATGAAATTTACGTGAAGAAGCTCTAGGTGAAGCAACCCCGGACGAGGAAGGCCTTCCCAGTACAAAAGTTGGAGTTATTGGCTGTTCAGAAGATGTAGTAGTATGCCTAATAAGCAGCTGATCTGCTTCCCCTAATATTTGCTCAATACTGCTTGGCTCCCGGAACAGGGGAATGTATGATTTCGTCTCTCCATGCTTTAATATTCCCTTCCCTTTCTTCTTTTCCTTAACATTCTTATTTGATTCCTACAATAGTTTGTACTAGTTAGAAGATTCTTGAAATTTAGAAGTTTAGTAGCTTCTTGTATGATGCTAACTTGCCTATAAGACATTGTGTGTACTCGACAAAATATTACAGAATACTAGTCGATTTGGGCTAAGAAAAAAGCTATTCACCATGGATTTGAGACGATAAACTTACATTGTTTGGCTTCTCCTTTGAGTTGAATGTAAAAATCTTTTTGATGGCTGAAAACCAGCTTCCCTTCTTTCCCATGTTTCTAGCATTACTGATATTCTCTGGATAAACAGAAAATATTCGGCATGTTAGTTGGTAAGATCCAAATAATTAAAAAGGGGACTGAGTAGGAATAAGAAACATA